CCTTTTTTTAAGGAATCAATTATTAGGATTTGGGAATTTAAGGGAAAATTTTATATGCTTCTTTGACGGGTTTGTTTATTTCTTAGCTTATCAATTTTTAGTTTTGTGCTCAGTACAGAATAAAATATTAAGGAAAATGAAGGCTCATTCAGGCTATGATACATAACACCAAATTAAAATTTGTAATAACTCGTTAGAAAAAAGTACTTTTTTGCTATTCTAAATCTAAATAGAATGAGTTTCATTATTATACTTAGGTAATTCAGTGTTTACTTTTCTGTCCTTGGAGTCAAATCATGTATATCTTCTCTAGGCTTCTCTATGTCTCCTGTAGAAAAGCTAACTTGCCTTTCTACATTTTAGGATTTTAAATAATTTGAGGAAAAAAGCTAAAGTTTTGTTTTTCTTTAAATATATTTTTATTGATTTCAGAGAGGAAGGAAGAGGGAGAGAGAGAGAGAGATGCATCAATGATGAGAGAGAAGCATTAATCGGCTGCCTCTGGCACGCCCCCTACTGTGGATCGAGCCCACAACCAAGGCATGTGCCCTGACCAGGAATCAAACCATGACCTCCTGGTTCATAGGTTGATGCTCAACCACTGAGCCACATCGGCCAGGCTAAAGTTTTGTGTGTTTTTCTTTTTTTCAACTAGAAATTTATAAACCATCCTAAGTGTTAGAAATTAATCACACTGAAAAAATAAGTTGTAATTAGACATTTTATGTTCTGGCTTTTTTACTGTATATGGTAATGTAGTTCTTTGTAGAAATATAGAGAAACATGCTATAGGTTTTCAGGATGTAAAGCTACAGGCTTAAGGAGGAAATACTAAGTGGAATAAAAGAGGTTTGCAGTTTAATAATTACCTTATATAGAAGTTCTAGAGTCTACTGAATAGAAACTATAGGAATGTATTTAGGTCTCCTCCTCTTGCTCCCTTGGTGGGGTGATGGTGACTGTGCACCAATGTCAGCATGGGCTACACTCACCGACAACTACCAGCTCTTCAAGGAGCTTGGCAAAGGTGCTTTCCTGTGGCCCACAGGTGTGTGAAGAAAACCTCCATGCAGCAGTATGCAGCAAAAATCAATACCAAGAAGTTGGTCTGCCCGGGATCACCAGAAACTAGAACGTGAGGCCTGGATATATTGACTTTGGAGACATCCATTGTGCATTCCCATCACAGTATTTCAGAAAAAGGGTTTCACTACCTTGTGTTTGACCTTGTTACTGGTGGAGAGCTGTTTGTAGACATCATATCCAAAGAATCCTACGATGAAGCTGATGCCAGCCACTATTTACATCAGATTTTGGAGAGCGTTAACTACATCCACCAGTGTGACATTGTCCACCGGGACCAGAAGCCCGAGAAACTGCTGCTGGTGTGTAAAAGCAAGGATGCTGCGGGCAGCTGGCTGATTTTGGCCTAGCCATCCAAGTACAGGGAGAACAGCAGGCTTACTTTGGTTTTGCTGGCACCTCAGCTTACTTGTCTCCTGAAGCCTTTTTTGTTGTTGTTAATCCTCACTTGAGGATATTTTTTCCATTGATTTTTAGAGAGAGTGGAAGGGAAGGGAAGAGACACAGAGAGAGAAACATCTATGTGAGAGAAACACATCGATTGATTGCCTCTCACATGTGCCTTGACCAGGGCTGGGGATCGAACCTGCAACTGAGGTATGTGCCCTGGACCGGAATTGAACCCATGACCCTTCAGTCTGTGGGCCGACATTCTATCCACTGAGCAAACAAGCTCGGGCTGTCCCCTGAAGTCTTGAGGAAAGATCCTTATAGAAAACCAGTGGATTTCAGAGCCTGTGGAGTCATCTTGTATATTCTGCTGGTGGGATATCCTCTCTTTCAGGATGAGGATCAACAGAAGCTATATCAGCAGATCAAGGCTGGAGCCTATGATTTCCCATCCAGAGTGGGACAGTGACCCCTGAAGCCAAGAACTGATCAACCAGATGCTAACCACAACCCTGCAAAACATATCTCAGCTGACCAGGCTCTCAAGCATCCATGGTTCTGCTAACGGTCCACGGTGGTATCCATGATACATCATCAGGAGACTGCGGAGTGCTTGCGTAAGTTCAGTGCCTGGAGGAAACTGAAGGGTGGCATCCTCACGACCATTACTTGTCTCCAGGAACTTTTCAGCTGCCTAAAGCCTATTGAGCAAGAGGTCGGGTGGCGGTGACAAGGCGCCATAAACCACTATGGTGGGTAACATTACAGATGGGATCAAGGACTCCACAGAGAACTGCAACACCACCACTGAAGATAAGGATCTCAATATGGGAAAACAGGAGATCATTCAAATCACAGAACAACTGATTGAGGCCATCAACAATGGAGATTTTGAGGCCTGCACAAAGATTTGTAATCCAGGACTCACTTCCTTTGAGCCTGAAGGCCTTGGTAACCTTGTGGAGGGAATGAATTTCCGTAAGTTTTGCTTTGAGAATCTTCTGTCCAAGAACAGCAAGTGCATTCATGCCATCATCCTGAACCCACATGTCCATGTGATCAGAGAGGACACAGCTTGAATAGCCTACATCCACCTCAATACATCAATGGGCAGGGTCCACCTCCCACCAGCCAGTCAGAGGAGACCCAGGTCTGGCACCGCTGAGATGGCAAGGGCTCATTGTCCACTGTCACTGCTCAGGGGCCCCTGCCCCACCGCTGCAGTGAGCTCAGCCACAGGGTCATTAGGAGATCCCAGCTGGAGGTCGAACCTTTGCAGCCAGTGTCTCTGGAGGATCCCGAGCGACAGTAGCAGTCCTGTTCATTTGAGGTTTAAAACAATTAAATTACAAACCCACCCACTTGCCCTTTGTGTCTGTCTCTGCTGTACTGAGGTGTTTTACATTTAAGGAGAAAAGATTGTTTTTAAAAAGATGGAAAAAGAAATGTATTTAAAGTACCATATATTTCATCAAATCTAGGATATTGTAGATGGTAGGAAGTGCCATTATGTTATGTTCCACTAAGAAGGAAAAAACACTCAGGATGGGGAATCGTTGGAGACCTCTCTGATAAAGCTGGCACACCAAAAGTCTACACCCTTAGTCTAAGGATACATGAGGAGTTAACCTGGCTGTGCAGAAAAGGGTCAGTAAGCAAACCACTGTCAACATTGGCACTGGGTAGAGAGGGGAAAAAATATCCTCTGAGAATGTGAATCAGGTTTGGGGTCCAAAGTCATATTACCCGTGTGATCCACAAAAGCCTGCAACAGAGGGCTTACTTCAGACTGATCTGAGGTTGGTGGTGCTCTTAGATGATGGCAGAAGCAATGCACATCTTTATAACTCTGTAGCATAATTTGAAGTCAGGTAGTGTGATACTTCTTGCTTCATTCTTTTTTCTCAGGATTGCTTTGGCTATTCAAGGTCTTTTGTGGTACCATACAAACTGATAATTTTTTTGTTCTATTTCTTTTAAAATGACATTGGGATTTTGATGAAGATTTCATTAAATCTATATATTGTTTTGGGTAATATGGCCCTCTGTTTCCTTCTCCCTCTCTTCTTCAAGTATGCTTATTATTCTTACACTAGAAGGCCCGTGCACAAAAATTTGTGCACTTACGGGGGAGGGAGGTCCCTCAGCCCAACCTGCACCTTCTTGCAATCTGGGACCCCTTGGGGGATGTCCGACTGCCGGTTTAGGCCCGATCCCACCGGCAGTTGGACATCCCTCTCGTAAACTGGGACCGCTGGCTCCTAACTGCTGGCCTCCCTGATTGACCCTAACCACTCTGTTTGCTTGCCTGATCGCCCCTAACCACTCGCCTGCCAGCCTGATTGCCCCCTAACTGCTCCCCTGCTAGCCTGATGGCCCCCTAACTGCTCCCCTGCAGGCCTGATCGCCCCTAACTGCCCTCCCCTGCTGGCCTGATCACCTCTGACTGCTCTCCTCTGCCGGCCTGGTTGGAGTCTGCAGTCACTGAAGCAAGGAAGCCTCATGTTCGCTTCCAGCTGCCTGGCTGCCGGCCGCCATCTTGGCTGACAGTTAATTTGCATAAGGATATGCTGATTAGCCAATGGGAAGGGTAGCGGTCGTACGCCAATTACCATGTTTCTCTTTTATTAGTGTAGATATCTTAAGAACCATGTTTATATGCTTTTACTTTTGCTTTGCCAGTAGTGTTCATTTATGAATTTCTTTTGATCTTTCCATTTAATGTTCTTACTTTTCTTACTGACTGATGTTCATGACTGATAATACTAACATTAGTTTTCTATTAATAGAATTACTTCTCTAGTATTTGAATTGTTTGACTTCTTGTGAGTTTTAAATATGCTATCCATTTGTCTTACAGATAGACATCTAAATATTTTATAACTCATGTTAACAAAATTCTGTTTTTTAATATAAATACTCCATATGATTTTTGAGTTATTAATGCTTGTGACTGAAAGTACAGAAATGTATAATCATCCAAAGAAATGAAACGATTGCTAAGCTTTCATTGGAACTCTACCACCATTATCCCTAATAGTTCCTGACATTTCTCTTTGCTTAAGAGCTTAACAAAACAAACAACAACAAAAGGAGAAAACAAAAATGGCCTGGCTTTTTTAGTTTATTCTTTGATTGAATCAAACAAATTACTTTTGGCCAGCTGATTTATTTGTTGCTTTTGCTACTAGTTAAAAAATAAACCTAACAAAAAAGGATCATATCCTTTAAAATTTACTGTGTTTTGATCTTATATGTATTGCTACTTGAAAACTATGTCATCTTTCTTCTCTAATCATTTAGAACACAGTAATTCCTCCTTCCGCCTAAGGCACCTTATAAAAAGAGCAATTGCATATCATCTAAGCCCTGGATTTGGCTATGTCACCTCCAAAGGCTTGCCAACAATTTTCTTTTTTTAATCCTAGACATTTTTTTTTTCATTATAAAACATAAGTATGTATACATTCACCAGTTTTTAGATGTAGGGTTAAAGTTCTTCTTTGAGAAAGAGTCCATCTACAGATTAAAATCCAGTTTTATCTTTATTATGTAAGCTACACCCATTTGCATCTTTTTCCCAAAATTATTTCTTAAAAGTGTTTGCAGTTTAGAAAATGACATTTAAAAAGTACTAGCACTCATATCCTCCTGTTGTGCTGCTGTTTGTGTAGTTTTTTGTTTTAGTGAGGACATGCTATTTCATAGAAAGAGTTCCTACTGTAAGGATAATATTATTTTAAATCAATCTTCTGTTGTATTCCAAAACTAGTTTTATAGCCATTGTTAGACCCATTCTTTTACTGAATATATGTATAATCTTTTCAAAATCGAAACTTGTTTTTCTTTTATTGCTTTTGTAGAACCTACTGGGTTGGTGACATTTACAAGACAGAGTCTTGAAGATTTTCCAGAGTGGGAAAGGTAATGATAAAAACAATGCTGCAATCTTAGAATTAGAAGAACTGTTTTTACCATGAGAGGATTTTATTTTACAGCCCCTGGAAAGATGTTTTCCAAACTCTTAATTGCTGTTTTGCTAGGCAGTTTCTTCTCATAAGAACCTAACAAAATCCATTGATAGCTCTCATTGTTAGAAAGGTTATGCCTTTTGAATCAAAGTCTGCAACTCTTTGACTTCTTCTACTGTTTTGCCTTAGTTTTCTCTTCTAAAACAAAGTCCTGTTTAGAGGTAAGGAGTTTTGTGCATGAAGACACTGATATTAAATGGAACACCAATATTTATTGTTCCTTCATACGCTCCTTTTTGGTTAGTAATTTATATTTTATGGCTTTTCTTCCTGGAGAACAAGATTGAGAAATTTTTTGTTTGTTTGTTTGTTAATCCTCACCCGAGGATATGTTTTTATTGGTTTTTGAGAGGGAGGACCCATTGATTTTTAGAGAAAGTGGAAGGGAGGGGGAGAGTCAGAGAGAGAGAAACATCGATGTGAGAGAGACTCATTGACTGGTTGCCTCCTGCACGCGCCATGACCAGGACCCTGAGATCGAGCCTGCAACCGAGGTACATGCCCTTGACCAGAATCGAACCTGGGACCCTTCAGTCTGTGGGCCGACACTCTATCCACTGAGCCAAACCGGCCAGGGTGGGGAAAAAATTTTTATTAAACTAAAATATAAATAGTAGTTACCTAGAATTTGCCTGATAAGAATTTTGAGGTTTGTCTGTCCATGTGTACTATTGGCAAATTTTGTGGAAGTTGCTAATTGATTGTTTTGTTCTTATTATTTATCTGTAAATACTGAGGAGAATAATAACCATTCTGAGTTCATCAGATTTGTACATTTTTTAGTGTCCTGGAATAGTTAACACATTTCCTAGTCTAGAGCAAATCTCCAAAGCACTTAAAGTAGAATGGATCGACTTTTTCAATGCATGTGAGGACATGACTAGACATACTAAATGCATATTTTGAGTGTGCATTCTGGTTAACCAGTGCTTCTCATTTTCACATTCTAATAAAATTTATTTTAATCCTCACCCGAGGATATGTTTTTATTGGTTTTTGAGAGGGAGGAAGGGGGAGGTAGAGAGAGAGGAGGGGATGATGGCTGTTTGCAGCTGGTCACACCCCCTTCAGGGTGGGGGTCCCCACTGGGGTGCCTGGCCAGCCTGGATGAGGGGATGATGGCTGTTTGCAGCTGGTCACACCCCCTTCAGGGTGGGGGTCCCCACTGGGGTGCCTGGCCAGCCTGGATGAGGGGATGATGGCTGTTTGCAGCTGGTCACACCCCCTTCAGGGTGGGGGTCCCCACTGGGGTGCCTGGCCAGCCTGGATGAGGGGATGATGGCTGTTTGCAGCTGGTCACACCCCCTTCAGGGTGGGGGTCCCCACTGGGGTGCCTGGCCAGCCTGGATGAGGGGATGATGGCTGTTTGCAGCTGGTCACACACCCTTCAGGGTGGGGGTCCCCACTGGGGTGCCTGGCCAGTCTGGGTGAGGGGCTGAGGGCTGCTTTCAGGCTGGCGGTTGTTGACTGAAGCTCCCAACCGCTCCTTTTTTTTCTCTTTTTTTTATTTTATTCTGGGCCAGCTTTAGCTCTGGCTCTAGCTCTGAGGCTTCCGCTGCTTTGTATCTGGTTTGTTTGCCGTTCTATAATCGAAACAATGTATAACTTCAGCTCTGAGATCCCGGCAGGCTGAAAGCTGGTTTCTGGAGTTTTGTTTAGCTTCTACATTTGCAACATAGTACATAGTTGCTTAGAGTTGCAACTCAGAGGCTGAGAGAGAGAGAGAGAGAGAGAGAGGGGGGGGGAGAAAATCTCTTGCCTCCCATACGAGCTCAGACAGGGATCAGACCCACAACCTGGGTGTGTGCCCTGACTGGGAATCAAATCTGCAACCCTTTGGTGCACGGGACTATGCTCCAACCAGCTGAGCCACACTAGCAGGTCTAATAATTTTTATTGTAGTTTTTAATTGTTTTGTTAGAGTAAGTGATGAAAGAGACTCACTCTTAAGGGAGTTAACTTAAGGCACATCTGCTTAGGTGGCTCTCCCGTGGTGTCTTCGTTCATCAAACATGTTCATTTGCGAGGTGAAAGAAAAATAAACTTACTTTAGGAGGCTGACTGCATGGCTGAGATGATTATTAATAGGGGGAAATGGATAAAACACCAAACACCTGAAGAAAAACAAAAGCAAAATTGAGCCAAAAAGGAAGAGAACATGAACAGCATTTTGGAGTCATGGCATATTAGAGATTAAAGTTATCCCAGGAAATCATTGGGTCCGGGGGCCTACTAAAAATATTGTCCGCTCTATACTACCTATGACAGGTGGAAACTAGGCAGCTTCAGTGGTGGGAAGTACACAACTTCACCTCACTC